GCGGTCATTGGGCGCACCTAGTGTCCAGCAAGAAGACCAGGAAACCACCCCATAAGAGATCGGACCCTGAACACTTCCAGATGGCAAAATCGTCCGCTGTCGTGAGACTCCAACGGGCGCGTCAGCATCGTCCGCGCGGCTGTGACTGTCTGCTGCCTCGGCAGCTTCGACTAACGCCACTGCTACCCGGGAGGCAGAGGAGCACCGCTCATCTCTACAAGTGACCCTCCGAACGATCGCTGGCGCCGCCGCCCAGCAGAATGCATTAGTTTCCTTCTGGCACATTACCTCAGACCAGTTTTGCGCATGTCCCACATCAGCTGGCACTGCGAATCCAATCGCATTGCCATTGAAATCGTGAGACGCAGCCAGGACAAGGAGGTGTGGGTGCGAACGTGAGAGAAGCACCCCCGGAAGGCCCCCATCCTCAGGCCGTTCCCCCTGTGCTGTTATTTGGCTGGGTTTCAGCCCAAGCTTGTTGGAGCGCACGGTGCCTTCGGCAGTGCAACCGTATACGCCCCTCCCCTGAAAAAGGACATCGGGCTCCACCAAGCACCCACCCGCCTCTGCGAGTGAGTGCGGAGGAAGGCCTCACAAACTGACGCAAAACGGAGACTGTCTTTAGCGAACGGCGAGGGAAGAAGCAGTGAGCAAGGGCATAGTGTCGGCAAAATCCACAATCGGTCCCAGCCATCGTCTGACAATCTCCCGTAGCTGAGGGCATACGCAGTAGTGGAGCATATCGTCAGGGTCAATCGGCTCGTCATCGGGATGGGGACAGCCGAAGACACAACCGCGTCGGGCCCTATGGAACCGAGCCGTCGTGCACGCACCACGACAAGCGATACGTAATTAGCGGAGCCAGCCCAATGCACATCTTAGTGCGTTTCACAACGACCCGAATATTTCCAATCTGGGCGACGGCGGTCAAGCAGGGCGACGGAAGCCATGAGGAGATACGTTGCAGCAGACCTGACCCGGGGCATTGGTCCAAATCCACTGGCACATGCGAGCACTATGCAGCAAAGCAGCGACGCTGAAGCTTCTTTTCCGAGAAGCCGTTGGGAACGTTGTCTAGAATATACGACTACTTCCACCACCCACACATCGTACGTCCCACACACACACACCATCCGACCTCCCTTCATACATGCTCTGAAAAAGAGGTCATGCCGTCTAGTCGTAATGCAGCCTGAGCGAGGGAAGGGAATACAGCAGCAGCCCTCATCTGCACAGCACGCCAGTAGTGTACTAAGTGAAAGAAACCCGTGGCCATCCCCAGGGCCTTGAGGCCACACAACATGCTGCAAGATAAAGAAAATCTGGGCGCAGCAGAGAGGAGCTGGAGGCTTGCATCGTACACCCTGCAGACCTCGCTTGATGGGGAGTAGAGCTACATCACAGACGAGAGGACCGAGAGGCAGGTAGACGAGAACATAGCGATGGTGGTGGCGAGCCCGAGGCCGAGGCTTCGTAGCGTTCGCACACGACCTGCTAGAGTTCATGGCAGCCCACGCCCACGGTTACGCCCACGCCCACGCCCACGCCCACGCCCACGCCCACGCCCACACCCACGACCACGCCCACACACACCCACAGCCACACCCACACCCACACCCACGTCCGCACCCACACCCACTGAATCTTGCACGTCGCCGAAGGGCCCTGGGAAGCGGCAGCCACCCCCAGAGACGCCGAGAAATACCGGTGGGGCGGAGGCAAAGATGCAAGAGCCCGTGGCAAATGTCTCGTGCACAACCGTCCGCCGTCCCCAGGCGTCCAGCATCATGCTCATGTCGACGGCGAGGCGCGCGTGAGCCTTCTAGACCAGTGCCCGCCCAGCGCGCGTCTGACGGCTGGCCCTGCCTGGCTGCGCGGAGAGAAGCGATAAGCTGTATTCAGCTCTTTCCTTGAGGTTGCTTCCTTCCTCCAGTGGTATGTCTCTCTGTCTGCCTGCCCCTGTCTACCTCTCACTGACTGTCCCTCTCTCTCTCTCCCCTCTATCTGTCTATTCCTCACTCTTGCTATCTCTGTCTCTCGTTGTTCTTGCGCCCCCCCCCCACGACAATGACCTGGTGGCAATGAAAATGGCAATATGGCAGCGGTGACGCACTGCTCTGCACGAAGCGATGACAAGGGACGCGCGAAACAGCTCCCAAGAGACAGCCACTGTTTGACAGAAGCCGCTGCGCCGTAGCACTCCCCCACGCAAGAAGAAAAGACACTCTGCAACATCTTCCTGAAGAGGGATCTCGAAGGCCCCCAGCCCCCAGGGGTGCGTCCTGATTGCGCAGACAGCCCCCCCGAGCGGAAAAATAGAAACGCCCCAGAGGTGTCCCAGAACTGGCTCACGACGGTGGTCGACGCATTCCCAAGCTGCTATCCCCACCCACCTCGCCGGCCCCAATCTCCAGATCTGGGGAGCTGCAGGGACCCCCAGGCCGCCCAAGCATTCCTGCCAACGGGCCCCAACGGGCCTCCACCAGAAAACAGGAAAACACGCGCACGGCTGGATTAAAACGTGGAGGATGCGGAGGCCGCGCGCTCGTCGATGCACGTGCGCAGGGCCAGCGTACCCGGCCGCACCAGGGCCCAGCGATGGAAAGACATGCGGCCGCGTCATGTGCACCCTGCTGCATGGCAAAAACACGCCCCAGGCAACGCCTTGGACGCTAAGGCCCGATGACCCCCTCCAGAAAAGCACACGCGACGCCAGATCCTTGCAACGTCCGTCAAGCCATGGGCACGCGACCCCATGGATACATTCGCGGCGCGGACGACGACGACGACGACGACGACGACGACGACGACGACGACGACGACGGCGACGACGACGGCGACAGCGACGGCGACGGCGACGGCGACGGCGACGGCGACGGCGACGACGACGACGCCGACGACTGGGGATGAGACAACTCCGCGGGCACGGCAGCCCCGGGAGGCAGCAGAGCCCACCCCCCAGGGCCGGGCTGGACCCCTCTCTGGCCGCCAGCTCAGGGCACGTCACGCGTGGCGTGTGGTCTTCCTCCTGCCCGCCTCCGCGCAGAGAGGCGCCCGCCTGGAGCGGCCTCCCGGGGCGCCCCCCCGCAGGGCCCTCCAGGGACCCCGCCCCCTGGACGGCCCACGGGAGGGGCAGGCCCGAAGACGGCGCGACCTACGAGGCCGCTCCAGAGCGGCCGCAGGCGGCCCCGAGAGGGCCCCGAGGACCGACCCCCCCCCCCGGGGCGGCCCCCAGAGCCCCCACGACAGCCCCGCCGCGTCCCAGACCAACGACTGCCCCGAGGGGCCCCCAAGCGACTTCCAAGAGGCCCCGAGGAGGCCCCGAGGAAGCAGAGCAGCAGCCATGCATTGCCGCAGGCGTGCCACACTACAGCGTTACTACACGGCTTCCCCAGACGAGGTCGCTTTGAACTCGTGGCAGCGACATGGGAACATGAGATCATGAGGAAGAAGGCCATACCACTAACTACTGCGCGCATGGTTTTAGAGTTGAGCCGCCCTCCACTGCCGACACATGGAATAGGCGGAGGCTCAAACTAGAAAAGCCCGCGTAGGCGCCACCGGGAGCTCACAGGCTCTCGCACGCTGCAAATAACGGCTTGTACAGCATGACTATCGGACAAGAAAGCACTGGTTACGGAGTCCAGAGTCTGGCAACCCATGGGCGTCAAACAGTGACGCAGCGGGCTGTGACGCAGAAGACGGCCGACCTGCGGTTGTGCCGACCAGACATGGGACGTGCCGAGGCTAGGCCTCGCACTGCTGAGCACGCCCCCGCAAGGTCCAGGATCTACGAGACCGAGGCTCGATCGTCCAGCTCTCGAGGCTCGGCGAACTCGGACGCCAGCACTTCCGACGCAGAAGCCCGGAGCCTCTGGAGTCTCTGGAGCCCTTCGGCCAGCGCCACCGACGCCCAAAACCGAAGGCTGGCTCCTTCCTTCGCAAACGCTTCGAATACGCACGCCGCCCGAATGGTCCAACGATCAAACACCACCTCCCGCATGCAGGCCGGCCAGTTGCCGCAACCTGGCGTCGCTTGCTCGTAGGGCCTGCCGGTACGCCGCCGTTCGGGCCGGGCGGCGAAGGCCAGCCCCTGTGGGACCCCTTGGGATCAGCGGTCGGGGGCGGGGGGGAGGGCCGGCAGGCTGGCGGTCATCGCCGTCACCGATCCTACTGTTCCTCGGCGCCTTCGGTCTGGGGCGAGACCGAGGTGGCCTCTCGCCGGAGGGGCTGCGAGGCGGCGGGCCCTTGGCCGAGACCCCCGACGTCACGACTCTGTCACAACGTCGGCCCCAGGCGTAGTGATGTTTGTCGTAACGCTGACACTGAAGATCGGCGGCGAGCCCGGGGGAAAGTGAGGCAGGGTGGGCCTTCTCAGAAGGCTCGGGCTTACGGCTTCTGTCCTTCTGAGAGGTTTTCTGAGCCGTCCCCGAAGACACAGAACCCTCCCCAGAAGGCGCGATGACTTCTGAGAAGCCCCGCCGCCTTCTGAGAAGGCCTGCCCCTTCCCCCCAGACACCCGATGCCATGATTTTGTCATAGCTAACGTCGACCCCCAAAGGTCACGGTCCCTTCCTGGCGTCCTTCTCCAAGCTTGCATGACGGCCATAGCGAAACGGAACGGAGGACGAACGACATCGGACACCCAGGGGTACAAGGATGCGACTCTGGCAGACGCGCCTTCCACTCCTCGCCGCTCTCGTCGAGCAAAGCCGCAGGTGAAATGACGCGACACCCAGCCCCCGAAGCGAGAGAGCGGTGAGGGAGCGGATGAGAGAGCGGATGAGGGAGCGGCGAGGGTGTGCAAAGCAAACGATAAAGCGGTCGGAGAACGGATGAGGGCAGACAAAACAAGGTGGGTAGAAGAGGGGTGGGGCGAAGGGGGGAGAGGAAGTGGCAAGAGGTGAAATTGGAGAGAATGCTGACAGAGAGAGAGAGAGAGAGACAGAGAGAGAGAGAGAGAGACAGGGGAAGCGGAACAGCAGAGAAGGAAACACATTTTTCGCCTCCTCCGGCCGAGGTCCGCTCCCGAGGCTCACGAGTCGTAAGCCACCACAGGCCGCCGCGGCCTGACACCACTCGGCACCGTCTCTTCCTCGGGGTACACGAGGGAGTCACAAAGAGACGGAGAGTACAAAGCAGTGAGGGAATCTACAGTTGCACCATGCCTATCAGCGTTTTGGTACTGAACGCGTGGCGAGCGCAGAAGATAGGGACCGAAATCGCGAGAGCTCTCTCCCAGGAGGTGAACCGAGAATACATATGCACACCAATTTAACCTTACGTCGGAAACAAAATCTGTGGAAGCAAACTCAAGCGACAACAAGGCCACTGGTAAGATAGCGAGACGGCAGCGGTAAAATATGCTAAGCCCCCGAGGCTCAGCTAAACTCAGCGAAGCCAGGCTTAAGCATGCGAGAATTGGTCCTGTAAGACAAGCTGGGCGGAGGGGAGCTGACCCAAACTGAGCTCAAGAAAATCAAAGCCAAGCTGGTATCCCAGCTACGCGTTAGCCAGGCCACCGCCGTCAACCATGCCGCCGCTCATCGGCCCCAGAACTCGCGAAACGGTCTGGAGAGATGTAGTCTCTGACTAGCCTAGGTGCTGCTTCAACGCTGGCCGCCTTAGCAACAGAAAAGCGCCACTATCCGATTAAGCGTAAGCACGGGGGGGGCTCCGCTAGCGTTCGACGACGACTCGGCGCTATTCAAATATGTGATACAAGGCGACGCAAGGCAAAACGTGGCAAGGCAGTGAACATCGAGGTGGAAAGAAGCAGGGTAACGATATGCACACGGAACGACTGATCCTGGCGAAGAACCCAACCATATGCAGTTGTGAGTAACGCGTTGTGCGTGCAGCTTTCGGTGAGGGAGGGACGTGCCGTAATGGGTGGGGGAGACGCATGCGGGCGGTGCCACTGGGGCCTGCGGTGGGGCTCCCTATGGGCCACGAGACGCTGTACTGGGCGTGGCGGACGCAGGAGGGCGGTGCCCTTCGCTGGAGCTCCCGATGAGTCCACAAAACGTTGTACTGGTTGGGGGAGACGCACGCGGGCGGTGCCACTGGGGTCTTCCTGTGGAGCTCCCTACGGGGTCACGAAACACTGTCTGGGTCGTGGCCGACGCATGCGTGCCAGTGGGGGCTTCGGTGGGGCCCCCTACGGGCCCACGAAACGCTGTACTGGGAGGGGGGGACGCATGCGGGCGGTGCCACTGGGGCCTTCGGTAGAGCTCCCCATGGGCCCACGAAACGCTGTACTGGGTGGGGGGTCGCATGCAGGCAGATCACTGGGGCTCCATACGGGGCCACGAAACGCTTTACCGGGTGGGGGGGGCGCATGCGGGCGGTCCCACTGGGGCTTGGTTGAGCTCCCAATCAATGGGGCCGCGAAATGGAGTACTGGGTGGTGGACGACGCACGCGGGCGGTGCAAATGGGGTCTTTCTGTGGAGCTCCCCATGAGGCCACGACACGATGTACTGGATGGTGGCTGACGCATTCGGGCGGTCCCACTGGGACCATCGGTGGAGCTCCCTATGGGGCCACGAAACGCTGTACTGGGTGGTGGCTGACGCATGCGGGCGGTCCCACTGGGACCATCGGTGGTTTTCCCTATAGGGGCCACGAAGCGCTGTACTGGGTGGTAGCTGACGCATGCTGGGACCTTCGGTGGAGCCCCCTTATGGGGCCACGAAACGCTGCGCTGTGTGGTGGCTGACGCATGCGGGCGATGCCAGTAGGGCCTTCGTTGGAGCTCCCATGGGGCCACGAAACGCTGCACTGGGCAGGTGAATCGCAGGGAGCAAGGGCTGTGCTGGGTGGTGGTTGACGCTGTGGGCGGTCCCACTGGGACCTTCGTTGGAGCTCCCTATGGGGCCGCGAAAGTGGGTGAAACGCAGGGAGAAAGGGCTGTGCAGGGTGGTGGTTGACGCATGCGGGCGGTCCCACTGGGAACTTCGGCGGAGTTCCTTATGGGGCTCCGAAACGCTGTACTGAGTAAGTGAAACGCGGGGAGGAAGGGCTGCGCTGGGTGGTGGTTGACGCATGCGGGCGGTGCCACTGGGGCCTTCGGTAGAGCTCCCATTGGGCCACGAAACGCTGTACTAAGTGGGTGAAACGCAAAGGGGAAAGGGCTGTGCCGGGTGGTGGTTGACGCATGCGGGCGGTGCCACTGGGGCCTTCGGTAGAGCTCCCTATGGGCCCACGAAACGCTGTACTGGGTGGGTGAAACGCAAGGAGGAAAGGCTGTGCTGGGTGGTGGTTGACGCATGCGGGCGGTCCCACTGGGACCATCGGTGAAGCTCCCTGTGGGGCCACGAAACGCTGTACTGGGTGGGTGAAACGCACGGAGCAAGGGCTGTGCTGGGTGGTGGTTGACGCATGCGGGCGGTCCCACTGGGACCTTCGGTGAAGCTCCCTGTGGGGCCACGAAACGCTGTACTGGGTGGGTGAAACGCAGGGACGAGGGAGGAGAGGGGGAGGGGGAGGAGGGAGGAGG